AGCTACAAATTTACTCATTGTAGGTATACGCTTTTCAAAGGCAGTCCTTATTACGCGATCATTTAAGGCAAGTGTGGATTTAAAGAACGTTTTACAAACACGTACTTTATTATTTTGAAACGAAAAATAAAATGCATTGTTGCTCTGCCTAGGATTTGCCGCATTTGTGTATTTATATTTCGGATTAATTATAGTAGTGCTGTTTATAATGAATTGCCTCTGCATAGTTATGTTACCCAAATTGTAATATTCATGAAAGATGTTCTGTCTTTCTTCTTCTGACACATTTGCAGAACATTTTAGACGACACTTCTCACCACATGGTGGCCCTACTTTTCTGGCTGGATTGATTTTTTTGATGTGTAGCTTTGACCTGTGTTTTTTAAACGGTCTTACTATTTGGATCAGATTCGCATGCGAAATCAACATTTTCTAAACATTCGATGTAGCCGGGGCCTTGTTCATCTAAGCTAGTATCAAGATTTTCGGATGAGTTCAAATTATATTGACGGTTATTTGATGTCTCACCCTGTGCTACTATCCATTTTCAAATATAATCTAGTTTTTTCTGTGGTATCATTCTAAAATAAAGAATATGAAACTGAAGATCATTGACATAATTAGACAAACTGCTATCTAAATTAAATAGTTGTAAAGAGAACATCGCAGTTTTTACCTTTGTTACATCATCAACTAAAATTCAAATGAACACAGACACATTTTGTAATAATACTTGAATAAGATACAACTTATGGTGAATAAAGTAGCAAACAAAAAAATACACAAAACTTTTAATAGATCATAGGCACAACTCAAAATAATACTTAGTTCATTTAAATGCGTGGTACACTAAGCGTTACGTTATAGTGAAGAATACAGGTTAATTTTCGTGTTATCACTCTGTTCTAAATAGGATTTGGAAAATAAAATACTTACTTAAAGGAAAATACAGCAAGAAATCACAATAGTACACTTTTCTTCTTATGGTAAAACCGAATATATGTATCATTAATAGATAATTCTCTGTTTCAAATAACAACACGGGTGAAACTAGTTCAAGGACAGGATCAACACTAAACGTGTCGTTCTTCCTTTTTCTAGCGAAACAGAAAGAGCTAGAAGGATATAGATGCAACTTTCGTAATTGGTTTATTCAATGTGAATGCGATAATCGACCTAATGTCAAAGGTAGAACGTACTTTTTTTAGTCGAACTGTATTATTAAGTCAGTTAGTGCCAAATTTTGACATGCTACTGTATTTTTCCGGACAAGCGATTATATAAGTTGTCCACAAAAAAATACAATTTACCCTGCAGGCCATCCCTGGAACATTCCGCTTATTTCTGAGTGCAACTCTCGAAAATCTCTTTTTTTATTGGTTTTTATTTTTTATAAATCTTTGAAATGGCTCGACCGATTGACTTGAAAATCTAATCAGCTCGAAGTCTTAATGAACATTTTCAAACGCCGTGTCGCCCATCTCGATCGGTGAGTTAGTTCTATCGTATAACAAAATATTATTTCCATACATACACGCACACACACACACTCACACACACATACACACACACACACACACACACACACACACACACACACACACACACACTCACATACACACTCTTCATAGGACCTCAAAATGTGGAGATCTGATGAAAACACGCATTCTCAAAGTCGGACCGAAGTCTATAAGTTCCTACGATTGAGAATTATTAATTTTCAAAGCGAGTAGTTCGAAATCAAAGTGAGGATTTTCGACTTCAAAAGGCTTTTAGCGCTCTCTTCTTCTGCTGCATGCATACCAGTAGTCCAGTACGAAGAAGCGTGTGACATTCGGTGAACAAAAAGCTACGTTTTTGCTTATTTTTTGTATACAGGGTAGGGTGATTTTTTTATAGGATGAGGGTGCTTGCTGTGGCCCATAGACATCTACATCTATCCTCGATTAAGAATCAAAATGCAGATGCGTAGTCATCCGTGGGGACTAAGATGGAATGCCTTGTTTCCAGTAAAAAAGGTCTCCGGTTCTCTACACTCACCATACGAAACACAACAGCATTGAGCTACTATTTTACGTTGGTATTCTGTGAGAGCGTGGTCCTTCCCCGGTCGAGCCGACCCATTCGTGCTACAACTATACTACTAATATAACTTCAGCATGACTCTACCACGTTATAATAGATGCTTTGATAAGAACGTACATCCCACCGAATGCGGCCCCTAATGAGCAATAAAGTAATCTATCTATCTGGGTTATAATCTACTAAGCCCAAAGAAAGTAAAATATCTTACACCTTAGCGAATAAAACAAACAAACTAAAGATTACTTTTTATCGTTGAAATATTTTTCATTTCTCCCTTGACCTGAAATCTGAATCATTTTGATGACCTTCTGTTCTACCATTTATCATGATGATGATTTTAAATTAAACTTCCCCTTAATCTAAGGCCGGATGCATTGCGAAAGTGGGTCACAGGCTCGCAGGATCAATAGAGGTCGAACTTGAAATTTGGGCCCCCGAGAGATGCTTGGGGTGTTTCAAACTTCGATAATATCATCTCCATTGACGTTTTGATTCATTTACAGCCAGTTAATGAATGATCTTCATAAAAGTTCTTAGAATTTTATATCAATTGAAATTTTTAACAAAAAGCATTTTTTAATATATGAATTTCACAATGTTTTTTTTTTGGATAAGTAAGAATTTCGATCCTAAATATTCTTCTATTTCCAGCGTGCAAATATTTTCAGATAGATTATTTTAGGATACAATAGGTAATTACGACATTAGTATAGACATAGTATAGATATAGTATATACTATAAAGATACTTGCAGAAATACTTATGGAAATTAAATCTATATAAAATAAGGATATCAATCAACTAATTAATAACATCTTCTATCTTCTAATTAATCATCTATAAATATACTATTTTTGTGAACAAGGGCATAGATTTTGTAATGCTGGATACGGCAATATTTTATGTATGCGACAAAAGGGAATACAACTATCTAATTTGTGTCCTCCGCATAAATTCCGCATAAAGACCTTACACATTTTTTTTGCCCGCGAATAGATATATAGATATTTACGATATGATAAAGAAGTATTTATAAACAAATAAGGGATTTTAAATCGAATCATTACTTGTGATGAAAATTGGATACTGTACGATAATCGGCAGTGCTCGTCACAATGGCTGAACCCCGGAGACCAATCCAAATCGTGCCCTAAACGAAAATTGACTCAGAAAGATACTTGGGAGTGTATGGTGGACTAGTACCTGTGCCGTTCACTACAGCTTTCTAAAATCTGGCCAAACGATTACGGCAGATGTCTATTGTCAGCAACTGCAAACCATGAAGGAGGAACTAGCTGCTAAACAACCGAGATTGGTCAATCGCTCTAGGCCACTGCTGCTTCACGGTAACGCAAGGCCACACACTGCACAACAAACAACCACTAAGTTAAATGAGCTACAACTGGAATGTCTGCGACATCCACCGTACCCCCGAACCTTGCTACAACAGATTATCATTAGTTCTTAGGGCTGACAACGCATCTGTGTTTTGATTCTTAATTGAGGATAAATGTAGATGTCTACGGGCCACAGCATCCACTTACCATCAGGTGGACTGTGTGCTCGTTTGTTACCATTCTATCAATTCTATAAAAAATACTTATGTTGATACAGAATAAAACTTTATTATAGTTTTATTATTTTTAAAACTGTAAGTTTCTTCCTTTTATGTCAGATTGTTTTATTTTTTAGATAAAAATAATATTTGTATTACCCATACTAAAATGCGATACAACGCTAGTGCAATGAATGGTTCACAACAGGAGTCGACTACATTAACTTATAACTATCAAAAGCACCCACTATTGTATAGCCACAAACATATTAGTCTTCTTAGATTATATACCTGTCTATATAATCAGTTATTAGTACTTTATGAGTGTCCGTACACTGTTGCTCTTAGAATGTAAACACCATAGAATATTATAGTATTCTATGGTAAACACCGTTGTCAAATAATAGAAAAATATATTCGCTATTCGACAATTAGTGAAAAAACTAATAGTAAGGCGCCAGAAATGACATATTTAGCCACTTCTGCTACCTAAGAGTCCGTCTGCGCCAAGCTGTCCTGCACTCACAGCTGTATTTCGATCTTAAGTATATATTAGGTATAGCCTGCATAATTCACAAGATTTGAGGTTTTTTATCTTAGTTGTCCATTTTTTTCGGTGCAATGGTCGAAACTAGTCACATACCATAAAGTCGACTATTAGCTTATTTGATAATAATAATAATAATAATAATAACGAGACCTAATAATATGACGAGAACCTCGAGAAAGCCGAAACAGATAAGCAAACAAAATATCTGGACCTGGCTCACGAGGTGACCGACATGTGGGGTGGTCTGCCGACCGAAATTATTCCTGTAGTCGTCTCTGCGAATGGGCTAATCCCAGTCAGCCTCTCGGGTTATCTGAGGCGGCTGGGACTACGTGGCGGACCGCTCCAGGTTCAAATGCAGAAGGCGGTGCTCCTCGATACCGCCCGCATCGTCCGCCGGTTCCTTTCCCTTTCCCCCTAACCCTCGGCCGTTTGGTCTCCCCTGCCGAGGGCCTCCATCTGGTTGGGCTTTTATTTATTTATTTATTTTTATATTTAGTTTATGTTATATGTATATTTATCTTTTCATTTTCATTTATAATTATATATTTATAGAACCCAACCAGATGAGAAAACTATGTTGATACCCCACAATAATAATATTATTTATTTGCTTAAAACATGGTATGAAAAAGATTTTACAAATATTATATAATCGAACAACATGTTTTGCTAGAGTTACATATAGCATGCAAAAGATTTTTTATCGTAAATTAAGACTTGTAGGTTTCTCCAGACTCTCGCAAGAAGTCTCGCGAGAAGGCTCGCCGAGATTTCTCGCCAAAAAACAAGTGTTTGTTCACACTCACGATGTTTCTCACTTACTGTTCTCCTCGCTACCGTATGGACGATTTTGATAGTGCAGCGGCTTTAGTTTTGTGTGCATTTGCATACTATAATCTTGTTAATATCAAAATCAGAAAACAAATTAGAAAAAAAAGAAGGTGCAGGCGATGGTGGATGACGGAAATTCATCGAAATAGAACAAGGTTTGCAGATCTTTTTTTTTTTTTGTTAATTGATGTAATTATAATGTGTAAGAAAAGTCGATGTTTTAATTCTGAATACTTTCTGTTGCAGCTTTACTATGCAAAAACAACTGGGAGAACTAGTTGCTGAACCAAGTGGAGAATTCAAAAAGTTTACTAGAATGTCAACAGTTGATTTTGAATATTTACTTAACAAGATTTCTCCATTAATAAGTAAACAAGATACACAACTGCGACAAGCTTTACCAGCTAAAATGCGTTTAGCAATAACATTAAGATACTTGGCCACCGGAGATAGCTTTCAAAGCCTTCATTTTTTGTTTAAAGTGTCACCACAATTGATTTCTACAATTATTCCAGAAGTATGTGAAGCATTAAATCAAGTTTTGCAAAATGAAATACAGGTAAATAAGTTTAAAATATTTATTAAGAACTTAATCTGAATTTATGACTTAATATTTACCTACTCATAAAAAGAAAATTGTACTTATAATCTAAAGGAAATTAGCTTCATTTTTTTTTATATAAATTAAGCATCTTTGTAAGCTAGAGAAATAACGTCAGATAGCTGACTTTCTTGCAACAGCTCATTTGAAAGTATCTGCACGTTTGAGCCAACTTGTGCATCTTCATTTTACAAATAAACTTGGCGTGTGTGTTGTTCTTCTAGTATATGAATTTGTGGTGGTTCGGAATATGCTATGCGGGTATTGTGTCTATAAACAACTCCGCGTGGCAGTGGTTCAGAACAGGATGACAGTGCAGATGATGATGTATTCAGAAGATGGATTGATTGTAGTATTTGTAAATCTGTTTGGACGCAACGCACGACGGCGATTAATAATCATACCATCGATCTCATACATAATTTCTAATCTTTCATCTTCAGAGAATGCTCGCAATTTCTTCGCTAACCCCATTGCATATATGTCACAATCGTCTTGGAAGGTTTGCGATTCTCTTTTTTTTTAATGGTTTCTTGAAAAATACTTATAGCATCTTTCACATGCTTTCCAGCTTTTTTTCAACTCGCCCTGAAGTAATTTACTGTTCATCTTCGTCTGTGATGTTTTTGTATCGTTTCTATTTTCATTGATCATTTCCACTTCAGTAGTACTAGAGCCTGGTTCTTCAATCTAAAAAATAATAATATCTTATAAGTTTGTATAGGTATACATGTAACCCAAATAATTCATTCTTTTTCAGATTCCATCGTCTGCAGAAGAATGGTTGGAAATCGAAAAAGGATTTAGTTTTAAATTTCCTAGAGCTATTGGTGCAATAGATGGCAAACATATTGTTGTGACATGTCCACCTAATTCAGCCTCCGAATACTTCAATTATAAGAAAACTTTCAGTATTGTGCTTATGGCATTAGTCGATAGTAAATATAAATTTATTTTTGCTGATATAGGTGGTCAATGTAGAATAAGTGATGGTGGAATATTGCGCAATACTGTGCTATGGGATAGGATTTGCAATAATACACTAAATTTACCACCACGTCCACTGCCAGGCTCAACTATTGATATACCATATGTGTTTTTGGGAGATGGTGCATTTGCACCACACATGAACATCATGAAACCTTATCGTGGAAACCACAACAGGAACAGTCCTGAACGAATATTCAATCAAAAACTATCTGGATCTCGCGTGTTTGTGGAGAATACATTTGGAATATTGGCTTCAAGGCTTCAAGTATTTAAAAGGCCAATCGAGCAATGCCCTGAAAAAGCTCGTGTTATTACCATGACTTGTATATTATTACATATTTATTTAATGCGCAGCAATAATTCTTCACAAATATATTCTCCCCCAGGCATTGTTGATGTTTACGATAGTGACGGCAATATTATTCGCCCTGGTGCATGGCGTAGAGAAATTACAAGCACTAATGCTATTAGAAATTTGCCACCCATTGCGCGCCGAGCTGCTGCTAGCGCTAAGCAAGTACGAGAAGAGTTTAAAAACTATTTTTTCAATATAAGTTAATTTAGAGAATTTTTGTAAAGTTTATTGAAACAAAGGCTACTTACATTAATTGATGTCGTGTTTATTGTTGGCCTCACAGTGAGCGCATCACCCAAAAATAATTCCAGGGCATCATAGGCAAACCATATTGGTTTGTATATTTCATCTTCCCCAGCACCCGATCGGCATGAATCTTTAACCATCTTTCTATATTTGCGGTAACTTGCAAAAAGTGATTCCTTCTTCTTTTTGAGTTCTGGTACCGGTTTGTCCATTAATTCTCCAATTCTACTCCAAGCGTCATTGTTAAGACTTCGGTCTTTGTAATAACGGTGTTTTGTGTCCCACAAAATGGGCTCTGTTTGGAAATATTCGATGAACTTAAGTTCTGCTTCATTATCCCAAATGTTAAATAACCTTTTCTTACTAAAATAAATAAAACACCCAACGTCGGAATACCGGAATGACTTCTCATATTACACTGAGATTTAAACGAGAATGTAATAGCCTTCTCTTTCTTGCCCAAAAAAACTCTTTGAAGCGGGCAAAAAAACCGACACCGGTCGGAGAACAGGCGAGCGCGAGAACAAGACGGCGAGAAATCGATCACATTCACGCATCTCGGGTATTCTCGGAGGTTCTCGGCGTGAGTCTGGAGGGGCTATGTGATTAATATAGTCCATAACACTATAGAAATTATTCTTAACTAGGTATTCCAGTAATTTCGATTTAAATAATTTACTATTTAACAGTTTAATATTATTTGGTAACTTGTTATATAAACGTACACACATAGATAAACAGCTTTTATTATATTTACTTATTCTAGGATTATCACTTAATATGAGTTTGTACGGGTTTCGCCGGATCCGAGGATTTACATCATCCGCCGTGTTAAATAAATATTTATGCTTCCATACAAAAATACGTATTTCATAAATATAAAGACATGGCAGGGGTAATAAGTCAAGTTTTTTAAACACCTGTTGACATGATTCAGTTGGTTTAAGCCCACATATTGCTCGAATACATTTTTTTAGTGCACGAAATGCTCTATTTTGATCCGTGCTATTACCCCAGATTATAAGTCCATAGCGCGGTATTGACTCGACGTATGCATGGTACGACAGAACAGCCATTTTTATGTTGGTAACTTTTTTAAATGTTTAAGGGCATATGTAAACTTATTTAATCTCGTAGATACATCATTTACTTTCAATTTCCAGTTGCAGTGATTATTTTTAAATAAAGTATGTAGTATATTTTATATATATATGTATTGTTGCCAGGTCTTAAAACCGAAAAGTCGGTCAGCTTAGCCGGACATTTTAGTAAAAAGGCTGGACACCTTTAACTTTTTGGCCTTAGTATAACACTTTTTTTAAGTAAAACAAGGCTTTTTATCATTTACTAAAAAGTCTCAAATTCTATTGAATTAACAATAAAACTGGATAAATCACTCTTATTTATTATTAATCATTCAATATTCATTACAATATTAATTTTAATAATTGTAATAATATGTATGTAAGTACATGACAAATGTAAAGCAATGGTCATAAAGCCGGACACCGACTAATTTGGCCGCACACGTAACCAAAAAAAAATCAAACCAAAATCGCAAATAAAGAATTAAATTGAAATGTCGGCCTGGCAACGCCATATGTATACATGACCGACACGGGCGCATAACTCACTTATGCCACAAGGTCAATGTCGTGAACACAGGCCAAAAAGTCGCAGTATATGTATGATCATATGAAGCAGATAAGAGTCTGCCACGCTGATCCAATACGGGTTGACAGACTTCAAGTCCTCGTACGAGTTTTAGCGACCCGTAATCAAAACGGAATACTTGTGTTTTATACGTGGAAGTGGAGGAGCCACGCTGCAGCTGTATTACGTTTGCAGCACAAATAGGTCAGATCCCCCGGATAAGGATCACGCTCTCACAGAACACCAGCGTAAAATAGCAGTTACATATATGTAGCTGTGTTTCGTATGGTGGATGTAGAGAGTTAAAGGCATCCTAAACTAGAAACGAGACATTCCATCTTAACCCTCAGAGGTGACAATGCATTTGGATTTTTAAAGATATGTGTAGGATATCAATAGGCAACAGCATCCATCTACTAAAATGACCCCCCCCCCCCAAATTAGATCAAATAATAAGTTAAAATTCAATTTGTAATGATTTTTTGGTTGATGAATTTCAACACGTGTGAGAGTGTGAGTGATTGGTCAAATAATGAAAAAGGTCACGTGGAGGGCTATGCTCAAAGTTATTGATGTTTATGTTTACCTGGCATAAATTTTCCGACTGGGTAAATCAAATTTCGACCGAGAAGTTAATCGATGGTTTCAACTCGACTAGGTAGCGCTCGAGAGATTACGACTCTTCTCGTCACGTATACCTCAAAAATTGAAAGCATGAATGTACATTGTACAACCAGTGCGTGTTGCCAGAGATGACATATGGGTCTAAGACGTGGCCCTGCTGGTCATATGAGGAAGTTTGAGGGTGCTCAGTAAGCTGTAGACAGGACTATGTGAAGTTTCTCTATGTGATAGTTTTCGAAACAAATATAAACGCTGTAGAACCAGAGTAACTGGCATAGCCCAAGGGATCAGTTAACTAATGTGGCAATGAGCCGGCCATAAAAAAAATTCTCGATACACAGCCTCGTACTGGTAAGCGAAGTTTTGAGTGGCCCCCTCACTCTTAGAACATTCAATGGTCTAAACCTTCACTGGATGTATTGACAATCTGGTAAGAGCTAGGGACCGTGCTTTTAGGCATTCCTTGCTTATGATCTGTTGTGGACTTGTAAAGGCTGTAGTGTATGATGAAGATGAAATAATTAATAACAGTAAGTAATTAATATAACTTTTATGATGGTATAAAAACTATCTGTTATTTATCATGTTTATATAATTCTTGAGCTTAATTTTTTAATAGTTTCCTAGGACAACATCGGAAAATCTAAAAAAAAAAAAGAATCAAGTATTCAGAAACGAGTATTTACTGACCCAACACTACTAGGATCAATTTAGAAATTTAGATGATTCTAAAACTCCCAGCCTCTGAACTATATTAATATGAATTCAAGAAATCAAGAATAGAATACAAAATTTCATACATAAATTTCACAAGGAAAATATATAGACCCATAGCAATTATTTGTAGGCCATACTAATAGTTGTTCCGTGCGGGATTCGAATTCGCGGCCTACACCGTAGCAGCTCAATCCTAAGCTATCGTGCCAAGCAACCGTCAAAAAAAACCATCTCTCATTAACTTTAAAACGACTAAAATCTATATACCTATTAAACTAGGCCACTCTCACCAAAGGTCCAAAACTATAGTATTTGAAACTGGTGCTCCATCGCAGAGGGGGGCGTAGTCCCACGGGAGCGAGGCGCGACATCCGCGGGGAGCGTGCGGATGTGACGCGATCCGGCAGCGGTGAATCTACATCGGGTTATTATGTTACAAATATATCGTGAGATAAAAAATTCGTGTTCATATACCAGAGTACAAGAGTATTTGCTCTGTTCTTTTCCGAATTCGGCTGACACACTCCCGTGTGACAAGATGCTTTGTTATGCAGATAAAACATCAATGGAACGTAATATCCCCAGGTTGTAAATGAATATACGTGGTAGAGTCACGCTTCAGCTACATTATGGTTGTAAGACGAATGGATTGACTCAATCGGAGTAGGACCACGCTCTCACAGAATATCAGCCTAAAATAGCAGCTTAATGTCGTTGTTACGTACAGTGAGTATAGAGAAACGGAGACTGTTTTTACTGAAAGCGAGGCATGCCATCTTAGTCACAGCATCCACTTACCATCAGGTGGATTGTGTGCTAGTTTGTCACCCTTAAACTTTATAAAATATAATTATATATAGGAAGTCCCTTTCTACCTTGTAACTTACAAATTATTTAACAATAACAACGCATTTTGGCTTTAATTGTTTTGAATTGGTATTTCTATGATAAAGAAGCAGCTTATCATGAGATATGCTGTTAACTTATCGATCACTCTCGTTTATCTTTTCTTTTTCTTTTTCACCCTGTAGTAGTCTACTCGTAAGTGCTGGATCATCGCGATTAGCAGATAATCGCAGTATCAGAAGCGTTCATTCTTTTTTTAATACTTTTTATTGCACTGGACATAGTCGCTTATTGCGCTATGCGTGCGGTTCGCACTTATGCGCTTTTTCTTGCTTCCTATTTCTCATAGACAATGACGACGAAACGAGATTATATATCCTGTTCATCACTTAAATTTTATAAAAATAAACTATTTTATAATTAATGATTTGAATCAATATCGACAATTAGATAACAGTTTACTTAGGATATAGGCTTCTTCGAAATGAGAAATCAACTTGATGTTGCAATATCTTAACAAAATATCCTGTTTGTTTCATTAAAAAATGACGATACGTGACTTCTGCATCCTATGGGCACCCGGAATCAACTTTAAAAAACATGCTAAATATACTGATTCTATGTAGTAGACATGTGTCAATCGTGAATAATTAACTTCTATAAATATGTTTTTAACGTTCCGGAACAAACGTATGACTGGACCTACGACTAAAGTGTATATAGTAATATCTGGCGAACAACATTATCGAGCGGGTCTCAACGATCACGGAGTACTTAAACTCGAAATGATTCATTTGAATGATTAACTTGAATGATCGGGTTGCTAGAAATGAATGAATGACACATGTCTACTATGTAGCCTTTACAACGGAACATATTGGGATTTTGTCCAGTATCGTGAAGGCGTTTTACACATATTAATTGCACATGGACAAACATTCAGACCAGAAAGAATTATTTATAGGCCTCACAAATAGTTGTTCCTTGCGAAAATTATATCATCACACCTATTCTTCGTGGCTCCAGCAACACCGCATCAGCAGTCTGACTCTTTAAGATCGGCCGAATACAGCTATATAAATACTCTCATATCAACACTCCTTTTTTCCTGCCACTTCAATTCGTTTTACCCACTTCCAGCGGCCAGTGTAATAAAGCATTTTTTCAAGTTTAATAAGCCCCCTATTAAGAGAAAGTGAGTACCTGTTTGGGAGAACGGGAATACTTGTGTTTTATACGTGGAAGTGGGGAGCCACGCTGCAGCTGTATTTTTACGTTTGCAGCACAAATGGGTCAAACCCCTCGGAGAACGTTCACGCTCTCACAGAACACCAGCGTAAAATAGCAGTTACAAATATGTTGCTGTGTTTCGTATGGTGAGTGTAGAGAATGAAAGCCATCTTATACTAGAAACGAGACATTCCATCTTAACCCTCAGAGGTGACAATGCATTTGGATTTTTAAGGATATGTGTAGATATCAATAGGCAACGGCATCCACCTACCATATAATCATCATTAACATCATTATCAGTATCGTAATGGTCCCTGTGGATCTCTTCCATCGCTGAGAATTTGCCTCAATTGTGACGTTTGTGCTACCAGACAGACGATCGCAAAGCCAGACAATTCACACCTTAGACGCTATGCTAGATATTTTTCTACCAGCGTCATTAAAAATGTTTATTCCAATTTCAAAAGCTTAATGTCCTACGTAATAAGCATACGATTCCGTTGTAAGTACTATCGTCAACACTTTAAAAGTTTAATAAATATTTTATCTTCACTTATATCTCTTGATTAATAATCTCGTGTAGCAGACGCGAATGACACACAGACACACCGTGTTAGCTCACACCTAGCGAACGGGGAAGCAATTACTGACGCACAGTACACGGTACAGCTTCCTCTAGTTCCTGTTGGAATTTAGGGATTCATAACACGTGTACAATATTGACATAAATCTTTATTAAAATCGCGTGGCACGACACTGTACGTTCAGACTGGCGTTTAATTCGTGCGTCCCGAGTTTCGACCGGAAGTCAGTACTTGTGCAATAGATGATTTTTTTAATATAAAATTAATGCGCCAAAAGAGCTAATTATGAACTGATTACAAGAACTTACTGCTTTTTGTGAACACCTGTAACTTCGAACAAAGAAAGGCAAATATGACTTATCAACTATGAGGACTAATGGCCAAATACTCAAGCGCTACTCAGTTTTAAGATGTCGTTAACCATTGTTGTACTGAACACGTAGCGCATTGAGATTTTGGCGAGTACACTTGGTCCACAGGTAGAATATCTGACAGTAAGCTTTGAATAATGTTATCTTAACTTCATTCCTACACCTAGCAAACCTGGGGGCAAGCATATTAGTAGTTAGGTTGTACCAGTTCTGGCGCACTTGTAGTTATGTTGTACCAGTTCTGGCGCACGACGTTCGTCGACTCACAATCCTACAAAAAAAAGGTTTTGGCATGCACTGATCACGAATCTGCGGTCCATTTTTGCGTAGGATGCACGGTTCCGGAGATGTGCAGATCAATTAACTCTTATCTAATTGATATCCGCTGCGAGCCTCAACCGTCATTAGCGCTCCATTGTCCTTATCTACTTATCTATTGTGTCGTCAGCGCGTGGGTCGGCTTATGCTATTGTATTATACTCCTTTGTTCCTATCTACAACACTAATCTGAATCATCAATAAAACACATTACCTAATTTTGTTAAAATTTTTATTTATAAAATACAAAATCTTATTACTTATTATCTATAAAATAGGAGTGAAACATCTCATCCACTAACATATCGTTGTACAATGTGTTCTCTGTAAATATACTCGTAAAACTACACATTGAACATCGCTGAAACTTATATAGCAAATACATTAAGCAATATTCGCCACAAACTGAAGTCCTATCAACATTCCAGTTCCATCTTTTAAACACATTACCTAATTTTGTTAAAATTTTTATTTATAAAATACAAAATCTTATTACTTATTATCTATAAAATAGGAGCGAAACATCTCATCCACTAAAATATCGTTGTACAATGTGTTCTTTGTAAATATACTCGTAAAACTACACATTGAACATCCCTGAAACTTATATAGCAAATACATTAAGCAATATTCGCCACAAACTGAAGTCCTATCAACATTCCAGTTCCATCTTTTAAACACATTACCTAATTTTGTTAAAATTTTTATTTATAAAATACAAAATCTTATTACTTATTATCTATAAAATAGGAGCGAAACATCTCATCCACTAAAATATCGTTGTACAATGTGTTCTCTGTAAATATACTCGTAAAACTATGCATTGAACATCCCTGAAACTTATATAGCAAATACATTAAGCAATATTCGCCACAAACTGAAGTCCTATCAACATTCCAGTTCCATCTTTTAAACACATTACCTAATTTTGTTAAAATTTTTATTTATAAAATACAAAATCTTATTACTTATTATCTAAAATATCGTTGTACAATGTATTCTCTGTAAATATACTCGTAAAACTATGCATTGAACATCCCTGAAACTTATATAGCAAATACATTAAGCAATATTCGTCACAAACTGAAGTCCTATCAACATTCCAGTTCCATCTTTTAAACACATTACCTAATTTTGTTAAAATTTTTATTTATAAAATACAAAATCTTATTACTTATTATCTATAAAATAGGAGCGAAACATCTCATCCACTAACATATCGTTGTACAATGTGTTCTCTGTAAATATACTCGTAAAACTATGCATTGAACATCCCTGAAACTTATATAGCAAATACATTAAGCAATATTCGCCACAAACTGAAGTCCTATCAACATTCCAGTTCCATCTTTTACAATTTCGTACAGGTGCCCGTCCATATGAATCAAAATATTCACCGACGTCATTCGTATCGATATATAAAGCTACCCAATGTGACCCTGGTTTATGATCTGTACCCAAATTGCATATTACCTAGTCAGGTCATAAATTCTATCACATGTTTAATGTAAAATAATTGAAACAAGTTTATTCATTATGTAACCATTTATATACCAAAATGAACTTAACAAAACATAGATTCTTATGACACTATAGTTTATTCAAAATGACCTCCGTAATTTTGAATACAGGCCTTCAATCTGCGCGGCCAGTCGTCTATATCACCACGAACGAGGTCCATGTCATATCGGCGGCTGCCTTAATTAAAGATGTCTTGAGTGACTCGAAATTGGGATGAGGCTTTGAGCACACCTTTTCCTCCAAGTGTTACCATATCTTGTAATCTAACGGATTCAAATCTGGACTGGTCTTTGTGTCGGATGAAGTCGATTTCACGCGCCGCCAGCCAGTCTTTTTTTTGTTTTTAAAGAACGTTACCTCCACACTAGGTTTTTCTCCTGTATCGTGGGGGCAGTTTACAAACACAAATTTCACAAGGACAAACATCCAAACTCGGAACAATTACTTGTAGGTCGTACAAATACTTGTTCCGTGCGGGATTCGAACCCGCGACCCCCAAGCGCAGCCACTCATTGCTAAGCCACTACGCCACGGAGCTGTCAAAAGTCTTGTGTGCTCTTCGCTCTATGAGCTGACACCGAATCTTGTTGGAATACCCAGTGCCTGTTATTGAACATGGTATGAGAAACAGGTTACACAAGGTTCGTCAGGACTGTATTTTGATACACAACTGCATTCGTTTTTAACCTTTCTCACAAAAATGTACCTCTGTTAAGCCCCAATAAGAAACTCCCAACCATACCATGAGCGAGGATGGAAAATGACCTCGTTGGACACGCGGAATACGGTTGCTCGCTTCTTCACTACTGTGTGCGTACACCTTATCATTTTGTTTGTTGTAGCTCTCTTCTACGGTAAAATTTTTTTTATCCGAAAAAAGAATTTCCCGATATTTTTTCCCGCGTACCGCTTCACCAAAGCGCGGCATCTCTTCAGTCTCAGATCCATTAGACGAGCATTCAAACGATGTCCTGTTTTTCTTCGATATGCCCGAAGCCCTAAGTCTTCATTTAACGCCGTGGTTCTGCTTAACCCCATCTGAAGGGCCAACAGTTTCTGCTTACTTCGCAGAATTCTGCTTGAATTTGCACCTTTACAGCTTTTATCACTGCTGGAGTCCTAACAAATCGAAGGCGACCACTTCTTGACCTATCATCTACACTAGAGTCTTCATTGTATCGTTTGATGGTACGATAAACGAATCTTTTGGTTATATTCAAATTTTTCAGTATATCAAAATATTTAATTGGCGCGTAATCGCAACTGCAACACGGTCTTTTTTAAGCGTACACTCCATATGTAAAAATGAGTAAAATTCTAAAAAGTATACAGTTTTATTTTCATGAACAATTCGAATTCAATAAACTTTTTTGTGGGCAGCATTCTAAAAGAAAAGTTTTTACTGTGTGACAATACTTATGACCTGACTAGGTCGTTGGTACGTGGGTGTACATGGGCAGTCTGTTAGCAGCATAAACATTATTTTCTAGACTGGGGTGAATCTTTTTCAGATGTTGTTGTACATCTAGTGTATCCATGATATTACTGCTATTAGTAGATTACTACAGTACAATCTACTCAATGACTAACATAGGAATGATCAATTATGTGATTTCTAAATATTAAATTTCATTTTTTCTGTTATACAAAACGTATTTGGGTCATCAATACACTGAATAAGACTCAACACTAAGAATTTGAGATAATGTTGTTGACGCATAAAGTTATTATCAATTCTACTGTAGAAATTCTTTAGATTAGAATTATTACTTACTGGTAATATATAAGACCAAGCAACTGCAGTCATGGAGTTAGTGTATGGTCGTTTGACCGCAGTGTATCTATCAATAATACATTTGCGTTACTTCAACGCATCAAAGGCCATAGATGTAAGTGTTTAATCTATTGACAAACTTACTTTTCTTTCTGTTATTTTTTACGTGTGTATGATTTTGAACGACAGGCCTGTTGGTCTAGTGGTTAGTGACCCTGACTGTTATGCTGGAGGTCGTGGGTTCGATTCCCACCCAGGACAAATGTTTGTGTGATGAGCACGATCATTTGTTCTGTGTCTGGGTGTAATTTATCTATAATGTTTATGTATTTAGAAATATATAAGTATGTTTATCAGTTGCCTAGTACCTATAACACAAGCTCTGCTTAGCTTGGGACTAGATGGCGTTGTGTGATAGTTGTGGAATATTATTATTATTATTATTATTATTTAGTGTTAACAAATTATATTTAAATATTTTGTGTGTGTATATGATTTAGCCGTGGTAGCTCAGATGGTTAGCGCAAGCTGTAAATTTTACAGTACGTAACGCGGGTTCGATCCCCGCCGACACCAATTAAATTGTTAATTGCAATTTTAAGTGTTTATTCTATTGACACACTTACTTTTCTTTCTGTTATTTTCTTACGTGTGTATGATTTAGTGTTAACAAATTATATTTAAATATTGTGTGTGTATATGATTAAGCCGTGGTAGCTCAGATGGTTAGCGCAAGCTGTAAATTTTACAGTATGTAACGCGGGTTCGATCCCCGCCGACACCACTTAAATTGTTAATTGCAATTTTAAGTGCTGATTTACCACGTGCTCGGCGGTGAAGGAAAACATCGTGAGGAAACCTGCATGTCTGAGAAAATTTCGAAGGCATGTGAAGTTCGCCAACACGCATTGAGACCGCGCCGCGGACATTTCCTAGCCATAAATACAAAGACAATAGCAGAAAGTAAAAAGTTAAAAAATACTTTTTTAACAATGACAGTCATTAGTTGATCATTAGTAAATGTGATTCTGTTTTCTTAAATTACAGGAAGAAAAGAGCAGAAGGAAGAAATGGGGTGATGGGAAGTAATGAAGAATGAATTGTTATGTGAAGTTTGTTGGAACAAAC